ACGGAGGGTGTGAAGCAATTGGAACTCTCATATGTTTATACATTGCTGTTGGTGATACAAAATGGTAAAGCCACTGGGGAAAATGGTTTGGCAGTCTTTAAATTAATTCTAATATACACTTACCATGTGACCCGGATATCTCACTCCTACTTATTTATCCTAAAGGCATAAGAACTTATGCTCACACAAAAACCTGTACACCTTTTCTGGCAGTTCTATTTGTAATGGCCAAAAGCTGGAAATAATCCAAGTCCTTCAACAGGTGAATGGATAAACTATTGCATACTCATACTGTGAAATACTATTTAACAATAAAAAGAAATGAACTATTGATACAAACAACATGGTTAAATCTCAAAGGCATTATGCTGTGTGAATCATAAGTACTGTAATATTCCATGTATATGACACTGTGGAAAAGACAAAATTCCAGTGATAGAGAACAGATCAGTAGCTGCCAGAGAGTAGAGGGGGGGAGGGCATGACTACAAAGGGATGGTAGGAGGGAGTTTTTTGGGGATGATGGAAGTGTTCTATCCCCTGATGGTGGTGGTAGTTACATGAATCTATTTGTATGTTAACATTCATAGATCTACTACACCAGTCAGGTTTGGTATTACACACTATAATCTGAGCTATTTGGGAGGCTGAGGCAGGAGTATGGCAAGTTTGAAGGCCAGTCCCAGCAATTTAGCAAGATCCTGTCTTTTTTTTTTTTTAATATTTATTCTAGATGGACACAGTATTCTTATTTTACATTTATGTGGTGCTGAGGCTCGAATCCAGTGCCTCGTGCATGCTAGGCGAGCACTCTACCACTGAGCCACAACCCCAGCCCTAAATCCTGTCTTTAAAAATAAAAGCAAAGCGCTCCTGGGTTTAATCCCTAGTACAAAAAGATAAAATCTGTACACCATTTTAATAGGTGTTTAAAAATAAAATTATAGGAATGAATGTGCCCTAAAACACTGAACTGACTACTCAATGAACATTCCATGAGAACATGAGAATAGATTCCTTATCTTGATGGGGGAGGTGGAGGTCAAGAATGTGTACAGAAGAAGTGATGCTTGAGCTGAGTTTTAAAGAATGATTTGGAATTTTTTCGGGCCAACAGGATTTTCATGTGCAAAAGCCCTGGGGCAGGAGGAAAATGGCTCATTTCCCTCTACAACTGACTAAAGCACAGGTAGTGCCCTAGGGGAAAGGGGGTTGGAGAAATAATTACAGAGTGAAAGTCAAGGCTGTAGGAAGAATCAGATTATGGCTGGGCTAGATGGTTTATGGGGGTAATCCCAGTGACTCAGGAATTGAGGCAAGACATCTCAAACTGAAGGTCAGCCTCAGTAATTCAGCAAGACCCTGTCTCAAAAAATGAAAAGGGCTTGGAGTGTAGCTCAATGGTAATGCACCTCTGGGTTCAACCCCTACAAAATCAACGAACAAAAACCCCACCAAAATCGAGTCAGATTATGGTAGACTAAGGGTTTGTTCTAGATAGGCCCAGGCAAGCAGGTGTGGGAGGTGAAGATGTGGGTTAGCCTGGAGACTTAACTCTCTGGAACATCTCTGCAGGGAAAGTATTAAAGCAATTGACCTAAGAATGAGTGTTTAAATGTCCCACTTCAAGGCGTTACACCCTCCCAGGTCTGGAGTTGGTTGGATTCTCCTGCTCTCTGAGCTGCAATCAAAGGTTCCAACACCACGCAGTGCTGCAGACAGTAGAGTCTAAACTGCCCTCTCCTAGGCCTCTGCCTGATTCAGGAGGATGAGTGATGCCCACTAACTGTTCGGAGGGCTTGAGGACTTTGAGATTGGCTTCTGCTGTCTATTCACAGTGCCCCAGGGATCTAGTTGTTTTCAGAAATACTGGTAACTATAACCAGGTATTTTTTAGCTAGGCAGCAAATTCCCATGGTTTCACCTTAACCCCTCCAGCTCTTCCCCAGGCTCACTTGAGTGCAGGAGTTAGAAGAAAAGCATGGGGGCTGGGGGGCTAAGGATGTGGCTCAAGCGGTAGCGCGCTTGCCTGGCATGCGCGGGGCGCTAGGTTCGATCCTCAGCACCACATAAAAATAAAATAAAGATGTTGTGTCCGCCGAAAACTAAAAAAAAAAAAAAAGTCTACAGCTAAAAATGACAAAGCCAAGATTTTGTTCCTGGATCCCGCTCCCCACCACCCCGCCCTGACTAAAATGTCCCGTACCCGACCATTGATTACTAAACCTTAATGTTTGTTACCAGCAGGACATTTACCAAAAATGCAAATTCTTGGCCCCACCCCAGAGTGTGTCTGACTCGTTGGACCTAGGTTCAAGCTGAAGAATCTGCATTCTTCAAACATAATAGATGACCCTAATAGGTGACTCTAGGGGCCCGATTCGTCCTTGAGGCGGCCCCAGGTAGCAGAGATTGGAGGACGGGCGGGTCCTAATCCGAAGAATCTGGAAGATTTTGCAAATGACCTAAAGCTCTGGAGGAGGTGCAGCACCGTTGGGCTCTTGGGGAGCCGGTACACCGCAGGCCGCGGGTGACCCGCGGCGGCCGTCTGGGGGTCCGCGGCCCAGCGCTCACTCTCACCTGCCAGGTGGTGAGCCCAGGCTCCGGATCTGTGGATGAATACAGCAGCCGCGCCTCCTTCCTTTCGAGGACTTTCACTTTCCCCCTTTCACAAAACTTTACGGCCCCACCCCCACCCAAGCCGAGCTACCTGGCCCGCCCTCCGGAGCCTCGAGGGCTCGCTCCGAGCGAATGGGGCGCGCGGGGAAGGCCGGACGCGCGGAGGAGCGGGCCCACCGCCTCCCGGTCGGCGGCGGCAGTGCAGGCGAAGGCGCGGCCGCGCCGGGCACCGCGCGGGTAGGAGCTGGAGGGCGGGCCGCGGCGTGAAGGCCTCCCCGGCCGGGTCGCGACTCGCGGCGGCTCCTGCCAGCCCTCCTGCTGGGCACGTCCTGGAGGGGCCGCGGCCCGGGCTGCAGACCCCTGCCCCACCTGGGCGGCCGCGGCGTGGACGCCGGGTCAGCGAAGGGTTAAGGAGCTCGCCCCCTCCTCTCTGCTCCCTCACCCTTGGAAAGTCCCCTAAGTGACGTTTCCACCCGACAATTAAAAGAAGAGTTTAATTATAGAGACGGGCTCTGGGAGCTGGAACCAACCCGGGCGGTCGGCCGGGCCGGTAAACAACTCTCAGCGAGCTGGACGGGCCGGCCGCCGCCCGCGGAGCCCGCGCCCGAGAGCGGGGGAGGGGAGCCCGCCGCGAGTTGGACAAGCCGAGAAAATTCGAGGAATCGTTTTTCTGTTTGATAAAAACGACATTTTAGCCAGCCCGGGGCGCCGGGGCCCCGCGATGGTGTTCCTCGCCCAACCCACGGCCGCGGGAGGACAGCGGCGCCGCCCGGAGCACGCGGACAGTCCGCGCCCCATGGGGACCGGCCCTGGGCCGGGAAGGCGGCCCTGCCAGCCCCGGGTCCCCTTCCCCCTCGCTTCTCCACTCCCCTCCCGGGTCCCCCCAGCTGAGCTTCGCGAACACTCCTGAGTTAGATCCCGGCCTTTGGGGGTGGGGGGATTAAAAAAAAAAACCAACGAAATAACTTCACATCAGGACTCAGACGAACCTTGTGGTTTTAACGCGCACCCTGCTCTGTCCTGAAATCTGGAACTCATTACCTCATCACCAAGCAACTGCACTAAATGTCCCCCCGCCCCGCGCCCCACGCGCACACTTGTTGGAGCCGGGGAGAGGAACGAGCAAACATCCCCTTAAGAAAGAAACTTATACACGCGAGTGATTTAAATTAAGGTGGATGGAAGTTATTTCCCTTTCTGGCGCTTGCCAGATTTCAAGAAAAGATGAAAAATGGGAGCTGGGGGGGGGTAGTGTGGAGAAGCAACAGGCGGCTGGACAGCAACGGCAGAAAAAGGGGCAGCAGCGTGATTAAAAATGGGGGCCATCGATTCAAGTCAGAGGAGGCATAAATAAAAGCAGGACCCGTTGTGAATCACGAAAGTTCGTGGCTGCAACAGAAGTTGGGTGTTTCGCAAAGTTGGAAAAACAATTGGTTCCTAAAACAGTTGTGATTTGGAAGGTTTCCCTGGGTTTGCCCAGTGGTTGACGAATAAATAAGAAATGCAGTAGTGGTTGTGTGCGTGTGTGCATGTGTGTGTTTGCGTGTGTGGATGTGTGTGAGTGTGTGCATGTGAGTGTGTGCATGTGTGTGTGGCTTGTGTGCGCGCGCGCGCGCGTGTGTGTGTGTCTGTGTGTGTTGGGGGGTGCGACTCGAGCGCTGTGCACCGCCCGTCCCATCCTTTCCAAAGAAACGTGCCCATAATGGGGTGACCTAATTACATTGCAATGGAACTCGCTCGCAGCCACTCGGCTCGCGGGGTTTCATAACCGACCCGGCGGCCTCCAGTGCTGGGAAGAAACGTGCGAGGGCCGAGGAGGCGGCCCTACCCGCGATTTCCGCTTAGGTCTTCACTCCAGGGCCAAGGCGCGGGGAGCGGGTGGGGGACACGTTAACAACTTTGTATTTGGGAGAACGAGGGGTGGGGGATTCGAACTTAATAAGAAATCAACATATATCGTTTTAAAAAGAGTAACAATTCATTGCGGGCCCTTCGGTTTCATGGCTTCTATGTCCCCTCCCCCCAAAACAGCATAGGGTGACAAGCCATATGTTCCGTTCTCGTGGTGGCGGGAGAGAAGTAACAATAAGTTAAAAAGTGTCGCCTCCCCCACTTCTTTACCGAAGTAACTTTTTTTTTCACTGTTCTAACGTCTGGGGTTTTGTGTGGGGAGGAGGAAAGTGGTTCGTTGCTCAGTGGATTTTTTTTTTTTCTTGAGGGGCGGAAGAGGTGCCCACGAAAGAGTCAGGGTTTTCTGTATTTAAAAAGTTTAAAGACTGGATCCATGTAAGAAACGCCACGCCTAGGTCTGCTAAAATCACCAACCTTCCCGGGCGGTGGTCTTTTTCTCAACGCACCCCCCCCTCTCGTCCACACCCGGGGAGCGCCGGCTGCCTGGCGGGAGCGAGTGTAGACGCGTGCGGCGAGCTAAATCGTGCCGTGCTCGCCCCCGCCAAGCTAGATCCTCCCAGGGGGGGAAAAAAAAAGTTTCTCTATTCCCCCCACTCCTCGGCCTGGAGGGAAAAAACATCCCATAAAACCCTAGACTTGAACGTTCTGGCGGCTCCAAATTTCCAATCCCCTGGCCCGGCGGAGCGAGAAGTCAGGGAAAGGTAAGTGGTGCCGGCCCTTGGAGAAGTTTCAGTGGAGACTAGCTCAAGATGGAAACCGCAGCCCGGGCACTCAGGACAGGCTGCAGCTCCCGCTTACAAAAAGAGAAAGTCGAGCCCGCCTTCCTGCCCGACAAAAAACAACAACACAACAACAAGAACTCCGAAGGGGGTGGAATGAGTGATGTCACAGAGCCGCGCTCCGAGGCTGACAAAGGGGGGGCGAGCCCCTCCCCCTCTGCGCCGCGCGGCCCCAGGGAGGGGCGCCCAAAGCGCCGGGGAGCTGAGCCCGCCGACTCGAAACTTTTCCTCTTTAAGAAAAAAAGTTGTGCGCGGCTCGGAGTGGGTTTTTTTTTTTTTTTTTCCTCCTTTCTTCGTCTCCCCCCCCCCCCCTTCCTTTTGTTAGTTTCTTTCCTCCCCTCCCCGCCCCCCCCCCCCCCCCCCCCCGCTTGACCGCATGGCTGATTCAACCTCAGTGTCAATCAACTTTTTTTCCTCCTCTTCCTCATTTAAATAAGTTTAAAGCTCCTCCTCCCCCCAGCCCACCAAATCTGAAACTTTATAAATTGGGCTTTGCGCGCCGCAGCCCGGGAGAGTCAGAAAGGCGAGGGGCGCCGGGAGCAGGCGTGTGGGACTCCAGACCGGAGAGCCGGAGGCTGAGCCTTCCCTGCACCGGGACCTTCACGACACACCAGATCCTCGCGCCCCTGCCCCGTGCGAGCTCCCACGATGACCACCACCCTCGTGTCTGCCACCATCTTCGACTTGAGCGAAGTTTTATGCAAGGTAAAGTGGAGCGGAGATTTTGAGTCTTTTTCTTTTGCTTAAAAGAAGAACTCCTGAAAGTTCGGTTCTTGGGAAGCAGGGGGTAGAGGGTAATGAAGGGAGATGGCTCTTCTCTCCGCCCGCATTTCCCCACTTTGAAGGAATTTGACCGTGTCCTCTTCACTCTTTTGAGTTTCAACAGTTCCCGGTGCGGTTACATGTGAATCTGGGGAGTTTTTGGGGGGGCGAAGTTTGTGAGGCGGGGCTCTTTGGGGGACTGGCCGGGATTAGGACAAGTTTTGGGCGACATAGTGTGCTGCTTGAGTTGAGGTTTGCTGGACTAGTTGGTTCCTCTGTGCGCGCTCTGGGTCTCTGTACCGCCGGCAGGGGTTCGATACTGTTCAGCTTCTTTGCCGGCCCTTGAGGGTGGGGTCCCTCGGGGAAGTGAGTCTCGAGATGATGTGGGAGATTTCTCTCTCTGCTTTGGGGAAGCTGGAGATCTGCAAGGAAGAAAAAGGCCAAGAGTTAATTCATGAAGATGTAGCAAAGCAAGTTTGCAGTAGGACTTGTGACCACCTCAGCTCAGCTGGGCTTCCTCCCGCGATAACAGATCACGGTGCAAATTTTGGGAATGAAAGTGGGTTGACCTGCTTACCTGTGTTGCCAGGCACCGCTCCTGGTGGGCCGGGGGATGCGTGACAAAATGCTGCTTGAGCTCTAAGAATACCCCTCCAATAAGGATTTCGGGGCCTTTTTCAGCCGGGTAGCTTGTCAGCTGAAAACAAGTTTTAAAGTCGGAATGCTCCAGGAGTGTGTACATAACAAAAGCCTATGGATGCTGTTAAAATTTTTTCCCCAGCCCTCTACCCCGTATTTGAAAGGGTGAAGCTGCTAGGCTACTTTTTAATTGGTGAAGTGTTTTGCCTTCTCTTAAACAGGTCGGGTCATGTTGCTCTCTTTTCCCAGCTTGCTGCTTCTGTAGGCGCAGCTGCCAAGGCCCCAGGGCTGCAGGGTTGGGGTGCAGGGACGCTGATTTAGCTGAAGAACAACATCAGAACTTGGAATTTTCAGCTTCCTTCCTTCCCTGCCTTCTCTAAAACACCACTAGCCAGGGCGGCTGCCTGAGCTCAGGGCTCTTCTTTTCCTTGCTCTCCAGTTCTTTGATCTATTTCTCTTTTTTTCACCCCCTCCTCCCACAGGATTTTTTAAATGAACCTCATTGTTGAGAACCAGCTCTCCACTGGGTTCCTGTAATCCGCTCGGTGGGGTGGTTGTGGTTACAGATTCCCGATCCCCTGCTGCTGATTCTTAGGGACCAACTTTAGAATTTGCACAATGACACCCACATGGGTGGGGAACCATCCCTCAGGTTCCCCACTGGCACCCTTTCCAAATCTTAGGTACAGTTTGGGCAGGTGACCAAGGCCCGTTGGAACAGAACCCTGCCTGTGGTGCCCCCTACTCCCCCCGCCCCCCAGTCTTCTAACTACCACAGGGTGGGTGGGTGGGTTTGGAACTTTCCTTTTCCTTTCCTTCCCATCTGCAGCTTTGCAGTTCTAGATTAAACACT